CTGTCGCTTCAAAACTGCAGTGGGCCAGCGATCCTGCAGGTAAACGTCGTTTGCAGCTCCTCGGTCTCGTGCCTCCGTCGCCGCAAGGCGTGCGCGGGGGCCCCCGGCAGGCCGAACTGGCCCTCGAGTTGGGGGCCTGGACATCGCCAGGGTGCCCGTGCAATGCACCATGCAGGCTGTTCGCGAAGTGAGGAAGCTCGCGGAGGGGCAGTTGCGAGGCAACGGCCATGCCGACAAGTCAGCCAAGGCTGGAGCTGGCCCCCGCCGCGAGGGCGGCGCCGTCGCCAAGGTGCGCCGCGGCTGCGCCGAGATGATCTTCCAGTTCGTCAGGTGGATCGCGCGGGCCTCCACCGGTCTTCAGGGCCTCACGGCCAAGGCCGCCCAGAGGATCTTAGAGGTCGAGGGGTGCCGCAATGCGTTCTCGGAGCCCAGGGCAGAGCCGGCCCACCTCGACGAGCAGGCGGCCCAGCAGCAGAAGCTGGACGGCATCAGATCGGCGACGGCTGCCCGTGGAGTCAGCGTTGGCGCTGCGGTCCTCGTCGTCATGGGCCGCGCTGGCCTGCGGGCGCTGCGGGCAAGGCGATGGCCAGGAGAAGCTTATCCTTATCGCCCGTGTGTCGCGCGGAGCCTGCGCGCGGCTCGGCGACGGCAGCGCCGCCGGGCCGCGCTTGTGGGCGGCTTGCCCAGGGTGCGGAGGCTCCGACAAGAGTGGCGGGCTCCACAGGGCCTATTGAGCGGGGGCTGCGCCGAGGGGGCCGATAGAAGAAACCAGGGGAGTGGCGGCTTGCCATCGAGCCCGCCCCAGTGGAGGGCAAGCTCCGCTACCTGGCCTGGGTCGAAAGCCGTGCTGCTGTTCGCGGTGGGCCACCTGCCTTTCCGGGAGGAATGCCCCCCTTGCTGCCTCCGTTGGCGACGGGGGCGTGGGCCGCGATCCCGTTGCCCGCGATGACGCGGCTCTAGAGCGTTCGGAAGCGCCGCCCGTGGCGCCCGAGGCCCGCGGCCGCGCGGCCATACTCGCCGCTTTCGGCTTGGGCGAGGACGGCCGGGCGAGCTGCGCCGACGCGGCGGCGACCCGCGGCGGGGAGGGGCAGATCCGCCGCCGCCTGGGGCGCAGAGGGGACCTCGGCGACGGAGACAGCGGCAGCTGAGGTCGCCAGCAAGACCGCTCGAGCGCAAAAGAGGCTGAGCGATTCCCTCTGCTTTCTCGTGGCGGGCGCCATCTCCGCATGATCGGGGCCCGCCCTTCTGGCGCCTTCTCCATTGCATCGGGGCGCGCCTATCAGTTTCGAGGGTGGACGTCGGCCCTGGCTGGCTGTCGCCGGCAAGCTGGAGCCGCGCCTCGCTCGTTCGTAGCAGCGTTTCGGAAGTGGGTGATCGGAGCTCACCCCTGCTTGGCTGGATGGACTTACGCGCTCTCTCCGTCTGTTTGCTTCTACGGCCCCACATTCCATTCCAGCGCGGCAGACCACGGCAGAACGGTAGACCACAGCAGCATGGTAGACCAGCACGGCAAACCACAGGAACACGGCAGACCATAGACCGCTGGAACACGGCAGACCAGCACGGCAGACCGCGACACGTCAGACCAGCACGTCAGACCACAGCAGCACGGCAGACAAGCATGACTGACCACAGACACATGGCAGGCCAGCTCGGCAGACCACAGCAGCCTGGCAGACCAGCATGGCATACCACAAGAACACGGGGCATACCGCTGCACGGCAGACCGTAGCAGCCAGGCATGCCGGAACGCCAGACCACAGCCGCACGACAGGCCAACACGGCAGACCACAGGAGTACGGCAGGCGCACGGCACACCATAGCAGCACGGCACACCATAAGAGCAAGGGAAACCAAAGGAGCTTGGCAGACCAGCGCGGATGACATGACCAGCACGGCAGACCACAGGGGCACCGCGGACCAGAACGGCTGACCACACAAGCATGGCTTTTTAGCACGGCGGACCACAAGAACATGGCAGATTAATCCGGTTGACCATAGCAGCCTGCAGCACGCATGTGCACGGCAGACCAGCACGGCAGACCACAGCCGCACGGCAGACCAGCACGGCAAAGCACAGCAGCACGTTAGAAAACACGACAAACCGCATCAGTACGGCAGACTAGCACGGAACACGGCAGACCAGCACGACAATCCACAAAGCATGGCAAACCAGCACGGCAGACCATAGCAGCACGACATGCTACACGAGCACGGCATAGGAGCACGGGAGACCACGACAGCATGGCGGACCAATGCAATGAACCAGTAATAGGCATGTACATAAACTATGTCGGTTCATTGTGTTGGCAGTTTGTGTTGCGTTTTCGAGTTTGCGTCGGGGTTCTCAATCGGTTGTTTTTTTTTACAAATTTCTTGGAAAACAGTGACGCTTCCCGTTCTTGTCCGGCCTGGCTCCAGAAAAGTGGCCGTTTCGCCCGAGCCATCTTCACACAAATGGTTTTGGAGAGGGTTTCAGATCCACATCGTTGTGGGGTCGCTCTTAGAGGGGAGCACCGTGGCCCAAAAGAGACCCAAAAGGCTCCCCAAAAGGACCCAATGCGGGTCCCAAGAGGCTCCCAAGAGAGCCTTGGGATGCCTGGGGCCAAGACACCTCAGGATGGCGCCGAGACGGCTTGAGAGAGAGCCTACAGAGCTTCAGGACACGCCCAGACAGCCCAAGAAAACCCCAGTAGCCGCTAGGCCCCAAGAGGACCCCGACACCTCTGCAAAATGCCCCAGGCTACCCCAAGCTTGCCCCAGATGGCCCCAACAGCCCCAAGGGTAGCCCCAACAAATCACGATGAACCCCTCCTTCTTTGACGTCATTTCTCTCGGGGTCCTTTCCGTCCTCCTTCGTCGTCATCACGTTTCTTCTTCTCCTCCTCCTCCTCCTGCTCCTCCTGCTCTTCTTCCCCCTCCGCGTTTTCCTCCTCATTGGTCGACCTCTGTCGGAGCTCACGCAACTGGATGTACAGGAATCCTTTTCTTCTTCATCCTCCGCTTCGTTCCTCCTCGTACCCCTCCTCCTCCATATGTTCCTCCTCGTCCTCCCGTTTGTCCTCTTACTAGTTGTCCTCCTGCTCCCATCGCCGCCCTCGCTGCCATTCACGCTGTCATCCTCGTCATCCACCGCCTTGCCGCAGCCATCACTCATACGAGCCAACGGCGAAACTGGTGCTTCCCAGTCTTGTCCGACCAGGTTTGCCCAGAAGGCGCGCTTGACGACAGACATCACTAGATTCCAGCAAGGCAGCATCTCGCCTGAGAGCGACTGAGACGCTCTGCGTTCCCGAGGTTGCGAAGATCGCGATGCAAAGCGAGAGGGCCGCCAAGGCCCCAGTTTGTTTCTAAGCGCCGCAAAGAGTAGGAGAGGAGGCGACGGAATCAATTACCCAGGGACGTACCCAACCTTTTGGCAACAGGTGGCATTATCAACTGGCGCTTTCAAAGTAGCTGAACCTCCGCTGAACGTCCAAGAGGCCCACGAAAGCGACGATCATTGCATTCTTGGCAACCGCCGCGCTTGAGGGTCAAGCGGTGTACTTCGCTCAACGAAGAATCAGCGCCCCGCGCTCTCGAGGGACAGCGCTGCGCACTGCGCTACAGGACGGCGCCGCGCGACCGATCAGCGAACAGCGCTTCGCGCTCGATCCTGGTGTCCACATACTGCCTGCACCAAGGCCGCGCCTTCTTTACCCCCCTCCGCGCTTTCCCATGCCACGGAGAAACAGCGCCGCGCGCTCGGGCCACAATGACAGCGCCGCGCGCTTCGAGAAGGGGCCGCACCCCGCGCTCGCTTTCGAAATATCAACGCCCCCCCTGGGGAATATGTTTGTGGAGCAGCAGCGTGAAGGGAGCGGCGCTGCGAGGATTCGTAGGCCTCGTCCTAGACATCGGATCAGTCGAACGAGCTGCTCACTCGGCCAGCGCCTCCAGCGGCTCACTGGAGAATAGTATTCTGCTGTTTCGGTCGCACCCCATTCCCATGGGCCTGTAGCTGTGGCTTGGACCTGTAGCCGAAGCTTGGGACCCGAACCCCAAGAGGCCCCCACGAGGCCCTCAGGAGGCCCCCAAGAGTCCCCCAAGCGGCCCCAGGAGGCCCCCCAAATGCCCCCCCGAGCGCCCCAGGAGTCCCCCAAGCGGCCCCAGGAACCCCCAAAGCGCCGCATTGACACCAGGCCCTCGGGCAAACGGCAGACATGAGACTGTATGGGCCGGCGGAATGAGCGAAGCGATTAAATAAATATCTGAAACAAATGCGCGTGACGCTACAGCGAGAGAGAGACATTTTGAAAACGAGCCGACGCAAATCCGTGAACCTTTGTAATGCTTAACAACGTAATGTGCGCGGCGCCAAGGCGAGAGCCACATTTTGAGAACAAACCGCCTTCAATATTTGAAACGCTTGCAACGTGTTTGACGGATGTGCGCGGCGCAAAGGCAAGAGCCACATGTTGAAAACCACCCGCTCTCAATCAGTGAAACTCTTGCAAACTTTTAAAACGAATGTGCGCGGAACTAAGACGAGAACCACATGTTGAAAGCCAACCGCCCTCAATCCGTCAAATGTTTTAAAAAAGAATGCGCGCGGCGCTAAGGCGACAGCAACATATTGGAAGCGAACCGCTCTCCACATGTGAAACGGCTGTCAGCTTTTAAGCATGAAGGTCGTACGCGGTGAGGAATACTCAGGCGAAACGCCTGGCCCCCCCTTTCGACCGGCCTCGGGGTGCGACAGGGAAGAGTTGTCTATGGGGGAAAGGACAGCGTCTGAAGAACGCGATGCACCAGCGCGGCCGAGGGGGGAGAAGGCAGGGGAGAGGGGGCGAGAAGGGGGGGGGGGAGGAGGAGAGGGAGGGGGCGACGGAGAAGGAGGAGGAGGAGGAGGAGGAGAAGGACGATAACGAGGACAAGGACGAGGAGGAGGAGGAGGAGGAGGAGGAGCGAAGAGGGCCCTGTCTGTGAAGACTTTCTCCTCGGCGTCGCCGAGTTCTGAC